CGCCGCCAGCGCCTCCCCCCCGCCGAACCGCTCCGGTCCCGCCCCGCAGCTGCGGGATACCCGCGCCCCGCGGGGATGCTCGGCTGCAGGTTTCTTCTCTTGGTCCCCACGATCTAATGTAGACACTCTCCTTTCTTTTATAAAAAGAAATACCGGTATTTTCGTTTTGCTTCCAAACGCTTATACTTATTTGTAATTGCAAAGCCTTACGAGTTTTTCTTTATTTAAAATATTTCCGAGGTGAGCAGCCAACACAGCAAACAACGGAAACGAGAAATCCCTGTCCTGTGCTGTGGCAAAGACAAGTACAGGGTGGCAGGGAGAGCGTTGGCAATTTGGGGCGGTGAGTGGGAGAGCACGTCCTCCTCTGCTGTGGGGGGATAGTTTGAATCGTTGTTTTATTTAAAAAAAAAAAAAAAAAGAAAAAGATGTTTCTTGAAAGTGGGGGAGGGAATCTGTGTTTCGTTTGCTGCTTTGGAAGGTAAAAAAACCCCACTTTTTTACTATAGATGGGCGGAAAAGCCAGCACTAAATTATTTCCTAATATCGTTGTTGAGGGAGCGGGGAGGGAGCGCTCGGGCTGTGGTTTCAGGTGGGATGCGGCACCGAGCAGAGGTGTGGAACGGACACCCCCCGGCTCCTGGGAAAAAAAAAAAACCTGAAACACCCTTCTTTGGGTTTTTTTTTTGGTTTGGCTTTGTGGAGGTTTTTTGTTTGTTGTTGGTTGGGTTTTTTTTTTTTTTCCTACCAGAATCCAAAAGGAAATTGGATGCAAAGGGGCTGAAATGCGTGAAAAAAAATTAAATTAATACTCCCGGTGAGGGCTTTACCCCTAAGGGGGTCTCTCGACCGCTGTTCCCGGCTCCCGGCGCGGCGGGGGCTGCTGTGGCAGGCGGCGCCCCAAAAAAATGGGGCTTTTCGATGGCAACCGCTGCTCTGCGAGGGGAGAAGGCGGCTGAGCGAGGCGCATCCTTGGCTTTGCGGAGGAATTATTACATGTCAGTGCACAAATAGGTCGAGAAAGCCGAGCGGGGCACGCTTTCGCCCCGGGTTCAGCGGCCGCGTCCCGGCGGGCCGGGATTTTACCGGGGAAAATTAAAACCCACCGGGGGAGGACGCGGGGGGCTCGGGCCGTCACCGCTGCCCTCGGCTGCCGCAGCAAGAACCTTCCCCCCTTTCCCGGCCAGG